CAGCACTAGCCTCCGGGGTTATGACTCGGTTGGAAACATTCACAACCTAAATGATTATTTCATGTGGGTAATGGAGGATTTGGTTAAATTTCAAATGACAGGAAATAATCATTTAGGTTGTGAATGTTTCCAACCGAGTCATAACCCCGGAGGCTAGTGCTGAGTTGAGCAGGGTCCGTGGCCCGGAACAAACTCTCAAAGATGGGTAGTGCTATATCGTGTAAATGGAAAATGAAAAACGGTCTGATCAGCTGCCCGGTGGCGTAGTGGATAGCACGCTTGCGTTCTGCCCATGAAGTCCCGGNTGAGACCCAACCAGGTCGAAACAGCTGTCCAGTGCTTCCGAGTTTTTCAGTTCACGCTTCATTTGCTATGTACACGGCGAATTCCCATTTGAAATTTTTTTTCATTACACATGATGAACAGTAGACAGAGTAAGCCCCATTGTCATGAGCACCTACTGTTCAATGATGGTAACCTGTAACCTAAGCCCCGAGACTTGGAATGGTAAACCACATAAGACGTCCATAGTTTAGGCGTGGTATTGAACCGGACGACAGCAGAGCTGCTTACCGCCAAAGTTGGGTAGCGATGGCAGGGCTCAAACCTCGGACCATAGGGTCCAAAGCACGCCGGTGACGGCGACTAAACCACTGCGCCACCACCACCACCCATAGAGTTTTCACACAAAGGGATCTATTTACGGTTCATGGAAAGATACGGAATGTCAAATTTTCTTTGTTTCATGCTCTGCTACGGATGTCGAAATTTAAAACTTGAAGATTTTTCATCCAGTTCGTACTTGAGAGAATCACTGGTGGGCAGAGAAACAACGTGAGGTGGTAGAGAGTTCCAAATATCGCACACTTAGGGCTGGGACGTGAACAAAACATTGGGTTTTGCTGTATAGGTCTTACTTACAGCAGCGGATAGTCTCCCTTATATTAATTCTGCTGATATACCCCCCATGAACGGCAAGACAATGCATATCGCCTTCCATCTGACCTCGGTCTTCTTCACAATATCTCCTATGCACTGAATTATCTTGCCAACCAATTTTCCTGATAGCCATTGTGTGTGAAACTAGTACGTCAGAACCGGAGCTCTTCTTTTATCCCCCTTATTACAAATCTTCCTTGCTCCATCTACTAGGCAGTGTACCAAATTTCTCTTCACTTTGAGCAGTACAGAGCGGTGAAAATGGATGTATCGGCCTGTTCAAGTCGCCTTCCTATGCACTAATCGTTGCACCGAGCCATCCGGTCTGCGGCTCGGACTGGCGTCCAAAAATGCCAGCTTTTTTTGTTTTCCGTTTCTAAAGTGAATCTTATGTTCTGGTGAGCAGCATTGAACTTGATCGAAAGCTCGTTTGTTTCTGAGGTTGTGTTGATCACGCACAGAATGTCATCCACATATCGTGTATGTAGCACACAATCCTCAACGGAAGATTTTAGTTGGTTATTTTTGGGTTTTGTCGTGATCAAACCGGCAAACAACGGTCCTAGTGGTGATCTCATGGCCACACCATCCTTTGTCGATAAATCTGATCGTTGAACGTAAATTGGACGTTGTGTGTGTGAAAAACAAAGCAGTTGTTTCAGGTCTTCCAAAGGAAGGCCAATCTCAACGTTGTTTTTATGTCCGTAACGGAACAGATGTTCGATAGTTTCGTCCATTGTAACATTGATGATTAGCGAATTAGCGTCCAGTGAGAGCATTGTCCGACCCATCAAGTTTAAGTCACGAAAGGTGTTCACAGAAGTGAATGTGTCTCATACGCTATGTTTCACTAATCCAATTCTAACGAGCTCTGGTAATTCAACCAACCATTTTACAAATGCATTATGTATGGTAAATTTTACATACCCAGAATCGGTCACAAAAATACCCACTCTTAGTTTACCTACGGAGTTTCAACAAGCTGGATATAGAACTCTCTTGGGAAGTGAAATCCACATGTAACATCATCAACAGTGCCTGGTGCCTGTGAAAAACCGAATGGGCTAATCCAAACACTCTCCATCTAAATGGATATGGAACTGTTCAGATGTTCGCGGAGTATATCTTCATCGCAGTATGTGCGTGGAGGGATGAATACGAGGTCTGTTGAGAATAATCTAATCAACGTGACCATCGCGCCGGATTTTCTTACACTCAAGCATTTGTATCTATCCACCCGTCAATGCACATTGAATGCGCTCAGTGCCCTTTGTTTCATAATACGCTTCTCTTTTTTCAGGTGTCTGCATTTCTCAATCCACTGCGATCAGTCGGTAATGCCATGAAAGCTATGCCCGACACACTGGCCGATGGATTTAACCGCATCCTGACCGGTGGAAGCCTGTTGGAACCAGTTAGTATAGGTACACGACTCACACCAGAAAGTGTGCCCAGGCGTTCCGACAGTTTTGATACTAGTCGTAGTGTGTTGAGTGGACTGGATTCGGGCAAGGTTGGGGACACCTTGGATCCGGTATGTGTAACTTGCTACCCCTTCTTCTTTTTGCAATGGAATGTTGTGCTTTCCCCTTTAACTTTTCCTATTGTTCATATAATATTGGTTATACAATGGATTTTCTGAGTTGTTGCACCAAGTAGTTTACCGTATATTGGACTGTATTGTTCTGGGAGACTTCAGTATTTCAGTGCCCCGAGTAACTTTCGATCACGCACGATACACGTGACCCCTGTTGTTCAATGGACTATAAAAGCCGACTCTTCTTCTTCATACAAATCATTGATTTTAATCGTTGGGTCAGTCAGTCAGTTTTATCACTTTCAGCGTTCCTCCTTTGGCCGTGTAGTTCATACGGAATGGTTCGTGCTAGTTGACTGTGTGACCAAAATCACTCAACAGAATAGTAACTGCACTCTTTCCGAGTTACTCAAACTGTGGAGCGATGGTATGGTGTTCTGTAATGCAATCGAACAGACTTCAACTGGCTTGGCTGATTGTGTGCCACACGTTAGCGTGTGATAGGAATAGTTATCTACCGACAGATGTCCAAAGCCACAACTGTAATTGGACAAGGGTTGCCATTCTTTTGCGTTAGTCACTGATTTTGAATGCCTAACCAGTTGATCGATGTACAGTGGTCCCTCACCTGTCGCCGGAGTAACGTTCCAGAGACCCCCACAGTAGGTTGAAATCCGTAAAATAGTGACGTTTTATTTCTTGTACGTATTTTTGTGTTTCGTAAATTCTTCTCCCCCTTTCTCTCATACACCTCATTTGCTCTCAAGCTTTTTTCACACTAAAACCCGGGGTTTTTAACAATACATACATGAAATCCTGTATAGGTACCAACCGGTATAGTGTGCCAATTTAATTGACGAAGATCTTCAATTAGATAGCTTCGCAGAACCAATAGTGATGATATTGATAGCGATGAAATGAATGTAGTGCTTAGCCGAAAAGAGCATTCTAGGTTCTCCGAAGACAACAGTTTATNTTTATCAGATGATGCACTTTTTTCGACCTCGACCGTAACTTCTACCTCTACTCCAAAAGCGTACTTTCATGCGCCGGTTTTCGTTGCTGTTTTTTTGGATACCCATTTGGATGAAGCAGAAGTGTAACTTAGAGTCTAAGAGAAAATGAAGGACTAAGGTTGCAATGAAATTGAGAAGATGCACCAACGCCATTGTATACGACACTCAGCCATGTAGGCAATAGCTATGTCGTTACATCGCGAGAAACAAGTGTACACCCGAATCATTTGGATTCCACATTGAATTCTATTTTTCACTTAGTTTCTACGGTGAGGTGTTCTCTATGGTGGGATTTGATTTATGGATAAGAGTTTGAATTATCCCTACCTGCCAGCAGTACCTACTGTAAAACAAACTGATTGATAATTTCATCAATTCTCGTTGCCTAGAATTGTGCTATCTAACCAGTAAAAAATAATAACTTCAGGTAACTTCTTCGATCAAATCGTACATAATTAATGCTCTAGATTTTCCCATATACCACCCATCCAAAGTGGCTGACTGTAGGCGGTCTGTAATCGGTTTCCGTTTGCTAAAAGCGAGCAATCATCTGAAGCCACACTGTCTAAGCAATTTTTAATCCGTTTTATTCCTTCTCGTAGCGGTTTATCATTATCCAGAATACATTGTGCAAACCTGTGTTTTTAGCTTCTTTATTCAAATTCGTTACGGGGAAACTATGCTTCCAACATCGAGGAATGCCAATTTGTCATTTTGTTCCGTTTCCATAGTGAACTTGATATCAGGGAAGATATTATTGATGCAGTTGAAAGTTTTTTCACTTCCGATCGCTTCAGGCTCACGTACGTGCCGTCCATATATCTCAGCCAGAGTTTAGGCTAGAGTTGTGGTAGANATACATTGTGCAAACCTGTGTTTTTAGCTTCTTTATTCAAATTCGTTACGGGGAAACTATGCTTCCAATTTATCATTATCTGTCTTTAACTTCGTTAACGACTTGAGTATTTTCATTTTATTGGCTCATCTTGAACTCTGATTCGGGCCAACTGCTGTTCGCTAAGATCTGATAGCAATCTTTTCCCTTTTATCTCTGATTTGTTGCTACCGGATAGACCAACGTAGATGATAGTCCAATTGGAATGTTGTTCCTCCTCGTGGACGAAATGTTCAATCTTCAACAGAAAAACAATTTCTCCCGGGAGGGGAATTTTGTGATTCTACGCAAAATATTCCAAACATTCTTTGGGCCACGCGTGAATAAAATGATCATAACGAAGGTGAGCGGTCTCCTGCATGACCTTTTCACAAATAACCATTTCAATTGTTTCTTCCTAATTGGATACACACTCGAGTTTGTCACTCTTTTAAATGATCTTTTGTTTTCACTGTGTTTCGGTTCTTCGGTTGACTGTACTTGGTCATAATTGGGAAATGCCAGTGAGCACTGCCGAGCGTTTGGCAACGCCTAGTCGCCTCGGTAGACCACACAAAAATAACATGCGTTGTGTTGTGTTGCTTAATTGGTAATGTTATTTATATTGAAAAATCAAACTCGGATTATCGTAACAATGGAACGGTGTTTTCGTCAACGTTGGTTTGGAGGACTTGTGAGAAAGGAGCCCACAGTCGGTGCAATACTCGAATATTGTGCGCTTGATAACCGTTGGGTGCATGCCTAAAGGCTTGTCCCTCTAATGTACTTCTCTTTCAATGCGTAGATGTACGATCACCGAACATTGTGTCATCCATGAATTATGGAA